TCCCAGACTGATAATCAATGCGAGTGTGTTGGGAAGCAGCCACATACACCAGGTCAAATTTGGGCTGGAAGGATAAAGGAGGTACGATGAATGTGGTGCCCCAGCCAGACACCGGCAGGAGCTGCTCACTCATGTAGTCACATTTGGTGTGCTTTGCAACACATACGTGTCCACTATAGATGGCCACGGGATTCTGGGACACGATCCTGGTGCCGGATAAGTCATCATGGCTTTGCAGTTGCACGGCCTGGTAAGCTCCAAGTGGGATGACCAGTTTTGTCCCTGCTCTGTAGGTTTCTCCTTGGAAAGTGACAGCCCCTTTGAGGTAAACTTCAACAATGGTGGGATCCTTCCAGGCTACTACAGCAAATTGCTTATCGAGACCATCTGGATTCCCCAGTGGAGTCACCACATAGTACTCTGTCCCGAGCCTCTGCACAGGGTACACTACAGTGGTATCAGCTGTATAGCGCTTATAGTTCAGAGCGAGGATGGAGATCTCATGGTCAGCCTGGACAATGACAGTGTGGTCAAATGTGTTGCTTCCAGCCAGCTCCACAAACGCTGGGATCATCACAGATACTGTCTGTTCGGGATTTGCAGTGATATTGACCGAAAAATCTGCTTTATTTACTGACACGGTGACGAACGTCCCAGAGATGTAGCCAGTGATGAACAACTTGAAATCTGTATTGCCATACCTTGATAAGTGATTCTGCATGAAGACTGTGATAAATTCTGTCCCTTGGGGGCCTGAGCAAGAGGTACTGGGAAGATATGGAGGTTGAACAGTAGGGGCAGCACCAGAAATGCCTAGATTTGAGGAGACAAATACAAAAGAGCATCACAAACCAGGACACCAACATTTTACAAGACCTGCTCTTGTCGTTTGGTGCCAGCCTTCCTAGGACTGATAACAAGGAGCACAGACACAGGAATGGGAGTCGGGGCTCCTGGCTTCTAACCCTGGCTCTGGGAGTGAATGTCATTGGTACATTTTACAAGGCCAGCTGTACCTCCATCTCTTCCTCTCGTCTCTCATATTCACCCCCCAGACAAATATGAGACCTAGCGCTGTCTACATGGGGACTTAGGTCAGCTTATCTATGAGACTCAGGAGTGAGGATTTTTCACATCCCTGACTGACGTAGTTAAACTGGCCTGACTCTCTAGCATAGACCAGGCCTTGGAGTGTCTTACCTTTTGTCTCAGGGTCCATCCACATTTCTCCTGAGAAGTGCATTTCCCCCAACCTCAACTGATTTTCCTGGGCAGCCAAACTTCGTCCTAGTCTACACACAGTGGTTGTCTCAGTATAACTATTTTGCTTAGGGGGGTGATTTTATACAAATAGAGTTATATGAATATAATCCCTGTATGGAGCCAGTTATACTTATATAAAGATGCCTAAGGTTCTGTCTACATGAGAAAGTTTCACCAGTTGTACAATATAGTTATACAGGTATTATTTTACTGGTATAACTTGCCAGTGTGGACACCAGTATTCCAGAATAGGTATCTTCTTTCAGTTTCATTTACACCCCTTCCCAAGCGACATTAGCTAATCCAAAAAAGGATGCTCTATAAGGCCATGTCTACACTACAGATTTCAGCCTGCATAGCTGTGTTAGTCAGGAGTAGGAAGAGGTGTCATACTTGACGAATATAGCTATGCCAGCACAAGCCTCTAGTGTAGATACAATTTATGCCAACAAAACTGCACTTTTGCTGGTACAGGTTATTTCACTTGGGCCAGATTTACACTACTATGATTGGTCTACACTAGAAAATTAGATTGACCCAGCTATGTCTCTCAGGGGTATGAAAAATCCACACCCCTGAGCAACATACTTAAGGCAACTTAAGTCCCTGTGTAGACAGCGCTAGGTTGATAACAGTGGGAGAACCCCTCCCATTGCTGTTGATCTACACGGTGCCACTGTAGTGTTTTAAGTGTAGACATCGCTGAGTGTAGTGTGGAGATTACAGTTTAAAGTGTAGAATTTTGCTGGCATAAGTGTATCAGCTTGAGTGTACAAAAATCACACCCTCTAATTGATCCAGCTATGCCAGCAAAAACCCCAGTGTAGACACACTTTGTACTGGCAAGATTCCTTTTGCCTGAATAGCTTATGTTGCTCAGGAAGGTGGTTTAACTAAACCAACAAAAGAACTCCTTTTGCCAATATAAGCGGCATCACCACTAGGGGGTTTGCCAGTATGGCTAGACTGGCATAACTGCACCGAAAAAGCTTTTGTTGTCCAGTAGCCCAAGGGCTTGTCTGTAACAAGCTACAGCACTGTTTTGTTGGTATAATCCGGGTCCATCCTAGGAGTTCTTCACTAGTATAGCATACTGGTACAGCTATACCAGCAAAGTGCTCCTAGTGTAGACCTTGACTAAGAGTGTCTATTCAGGGGGTTATACCGGTATAACTTTATTGGTTTATATTCAAACCTCAGGTTATACCGAAAAATCCTGTGTAGACAAGTCCTTATGCTAGTAAAGCTTATTTTTTGCCCAGATACTTATACTAGTACTGCCCTTTGTGTGTCACTGTTATAGCTGTAAAAAGTTGCTTCAGACCAGTATAGCTTATTCCCTTTCTGTATAGAAATAGCTGCATGCTACAGGCCTGAGATATCCACCCAATAATTCCTGCATCATGTGGCTGAGTCAGATTCCCCCTTCCGCATACATTTGTGTGTATGCCCTTTGCAGATGACACTAGACTGAGAGGCGTGGTAGGTACGCTGGAGGGTAGGGATCGGATACAGAGGGACCTAGACAAATTAGAGGATTGGGCCAAAAGAAATCTGATGAGGTTCAACAAGGACAAGTGCAGACTCCTGCACTTAGGATGGTAGAATCCCATGCACTGTTGCACACTAGGGACCGAATGGCTAGGCAGCAGTTCTGCAGAAAAGGACCTAGGGGTTACGGTAGACGAGAAGCTGGATATGAGTCAACAGTGTGCCCTTGTTGCCAAGAAGCCTAATGGCATTTTGGGCTGTATAAGTAGGGGCATTGCCAGCAGATCGAGGGACGTGATCGTTCCCCCCTATCTGACATTGGTGAGGCCTCATCTGGAGTACTGTGTCCAGTTTTGGGCCCCACACTACAAGAAGGATGTGGAAAATTGGAAAGAGTCCAGCAGAGGGCAACAAAAATGATTAGGGGTCTGGAGCATATGACTTATGAGAAGAGGCTGAGGGAACTGGGATTGTTTAGTCTCCAGAAGAGAAAAATGAAGCGGGATTTGATAACTGCTTTCAACTACCTGAAAGGGGGTTACAAAGAGGATGGATCTAGACTGTTCTCAGTGGTAGCAGATGACAGAACAAGGAGTAATGGTCTCAAGTTGCAGTGGGGGAGGTTTAGGTTGGATATTAGGAAAAACTTTTTCACTAGGAGGATGGTGAAGCACTGGAATGGGTTACCTAGGGAGGTGGTGGAATCTCCTTCCTTAGAGGTTTTTAAGGTCAGGCTTGACAAAGCCCTGGCTGGGATGATTTAGTTGGGAATTGGTCCTGCTTTGAGCAGGGGGTTGGACTAGATGACCTCCTAAGTTCCCTTCCAACCCTGATAGTCTATGATTCTATGGACTCTGTCCCCTTCATTGAATGTTTTAATGATGAATGTACACTCCAGAACACCACTTTTCATCCAAGCCCTGGTCTACACACAGATTTTGTACTGATATAACTATGTTGGTTAGGGCTGTTATGCCAAATTAGTAATACCAACCCCTAATGTGGACACAGTTCTTTCAACATGAAGGTGTCTTGCTCCTCGTCTACGCTACAAAGTTTTGCCAGCATAGCTGTCAGTTAGAAATGTGAAAGAAAAAATCACACCACTTAGCTGACCTATGCTAACAAAACGCCTAGTGTAGACTTACAACTATGCCAACAGAGGAGTGCTTCTGTTTGCATAGCTAATGTTATTCAGAAAGGTGGTAAAGCAGATCTCTTTCTGCTGCTTTACCACTCTTCCAACATAGCTATACTAGTCAAGGCGCTGTAATGTAGACAAGCTTATGCAGTTATTCCCTTTCCCTGACAAGAAACTGGGATAATCACCTTTATACTGACATAACTGTATCCACACTAGGGAGGTTGTGTTTCTTTAGCTATACCAGTATAAAGTGGTACAACCAGTTTGGGCAATCTAGGAGAATGGTTGGGGCTACTGTCTGGGTGGTTTGGTCCATATCATTTTAATGATTCTCATTTGTGATTCTTATTGACGTATCTCCATGGCAGAAAAGGGGGACCAGTTTCCCTCCTGCTTCACAGGGGATTTGTTTACCAGACACCCCCTGCAGCTTCAAAATACACTTGGAGCAGAGGACACAAAAATCATATTTCAGTTACGTATCAAAATGTACATTTGGTATCTATTTTTTTAGTGATCTAGTGCTCAGAGCATGAGCTGACTGTATTTACTAGACTGTATTAGTAGGAGCATTGCCAGCAGATCGAGGGAAGTGATTATTCCCCTCTATTTGACACTGGTGAAGCCACACCTGGAGTATTGTGTCCATTTTTGGTCTCCTCACTACAGAAGGGATGTGGACAATTTGGAGAGAGTCCAGCGGAGGGCAACGGAAATGATTAGGGGCTTGAGATACATGATTTATGAGGAGAGGCTGAGGGAACTGGGGTTATTTAGTCTGAAGAAGAGAAGAGTGAGGGGGGATTTGATAGCAGCCTTCAACTACCTGAAGAGGATGGAGCTCGGCTGTTCTCAGTGGTGGCAGACGACAGAACAAGAAGCAATGGTCTCAAGTTTCAGTGGGGAGGTCTAGGTTGGCTATTAGGAAACACTATTTCACTAGAAGGGTGGTGAAGCCCTGGAATGGGCTACCTAGGGAGGTAGCTCTAATAAATTTGTTAGTCTCTAAGGTGCCACAAGTACTCCTGTTATTTCTCCTTCCTTAGAGGTTTTTAAGGCCCAGCTTGACAAAGCCTTGACTGGGATGATTTAGTTGGTGTTGGTCCTGCTTTTAGCAGGGGATTGGACTAGATGACCTCCTGAGGTCTCTTCCAACTCTAATATTCTATGACTGAAAGGCAGGTCTCCTGGGTTCTATCCTTTGACTCTGAGAGGAGTGTTGTCCAATGGAGGGGTTGGGAAGGAAGGGAACAGGGAAAGATGGTGGAAGGCAGGCTTGGAGGGTGAGAAAGACTATCACATATATTGTACTTACCACCAATAGCTGTGGAGCCATACCCAGCCTTGTCTTTAATCCCAACACTCAGGACACCAAATGGGGAGCTGGGGTTCTCTATGGTGTGGTTGCTAAACCCACTTCCCAAGTTGTATGTAATCCAAGAATATGCTGTGCCTGGAATAGGCCTCCACTGAGTAATACGTAGTGGTTCTGCATCAATAGTAACATCAGCAGTCTCGGCCGTCTTGGCTACAATCACAGCATAGTTCTCAAACAGGTCCTGTCCATGGATGTTATAGGTCTGGCAGTAGCCAGAGACATCTGGGATCATCAGGAAGAAGGGATCGTACACAATTTTCCCTTTGCTCCCACCAGTGCAGAACAAGGCAACTTGGATCCCAGCACTAGCAGAGATGTACAAGGGATTAGGGAATTTGATTTCAAATGTCACAACCTGCCCAGCAACCAGGTTCTTTCTGGCACTCACCTTCCCAGACTGATAATCAATGCGAGTGTGTTGGGAAGCAGCCACATAC